AAGTTTTCTTGTCTTCGATGGTCGTCACTGGTGAGTTAGGCAAAACTAATGACGCCACTGCTTCAGGTAACATTTCTGACCCTTGATCTTATGGTTGCTCTTGTTGTTTGAAAGTTTGATGAGGTTCAGTCATTAACAGACCTCAAGTCCTCATTTTATGCAATTCTAACCTATTGATCCTTGTAGTGGCTCGCTCGTTTAGGTATTTCTCAATCTTTCCGAACCAAAGTCATGATATATTTTGACAATTTGTTGTACTTTGGAATGTGACCTCGAAGAGGTATCCCAAGTTCAAGCATGTTTACATTTTTGACATGCCATGCACACCCAAGCAAGCAATCCTTCATCTGGACTTTAGGCTATATGGCAGCTTGGCAGATTTAGTAAAGTGCTCTTTTCACAAGAGTTAGGAGATGGGGGAAATGCTGACCCTATGCTCAGAGCTTGTGGTGTTTCTATTAGCACTCAGTTTACCCAAGCAGATGGGCGGGTGCTACCAGCATCAAAGTTAAAAGTCGGGCATGGAGAAGACTTCATGTCAAGGAACGGAAGATGGAACTTCAATAACAAGAAATGTGACATTGTTGCGGTGAAGCTCGTAGTGTAACTCGAGGGTTGTCGAAAGAACTTGTAACTAAACTCGTAGTGTAGTTTGAAGGTCGTCGAAAGAACTTGTAACTAAACTTCGTAGTTTAGTTCGAGTCTTCTAAGTTTAATTTATGTATTTCAACTTTTTGTAATTTCGATCATTATATGAATAAAATTTATAGTTTTATCCACATGTTGCTCTCTTCCTTTTGTGTAATTGAAGAATTTCAACTTAGGATTTTTAGTAAACCACCAGCTATCAATAGACTTGAGTTGTCTTTACCAACTGCCGTTTGAGTTGAACTAGTCATACTTTTCCCTCAGTATGATGAATTGTCAAAGAGTTTTTCTTAGAGTTAAGTGCTAATATTTGTAGGCATATAAAATTGCTTATAGGTCCCTTAGCTCAGCTCAGTACAAACCGACAAACCAACGAGGCGCGAGATGCTAATTGGCTACGCAAGCAACGGAATAGTCTAAATCCGTGCGGGATCAAGCCAAGTGTTCGAAGAGTCAACGAGTTCCCCACCAAAGGCATGCTCGGATGAATGACGATCGAATCAAAAGATCGGTTTCGTACTCCAGTCAGTAAGCGGATTAACTGCGCTAATCGGGGTCCTGATTTACCTGGCAAATCAGTCAGCAAATCGGAATCGAACCTATAACTTGCAGCCTGAAAAGGGGCACCAAAGAAGGCATAACGACAAACCTCGCGGAGGAGGCTCACGCGAGCACGAAGGAGGCCTCGGTGGCCGAGCCACCAAGTGGTGGCTGGCGAGCCACACTAGGTTGGCTCTAGCGAGCCTACCTTGGGGCGTCACCGAGCCACTGTTGTGGCTGCGGGCCAACAGGTGGCTTCGAGCACGAGCACCCTATAAGTGGTCAG